TAAGTAAAATAGCGGAAATCTAAAACCAACATTTAATTCTTGAACCCAGCTGTAGAAAGCAAATCATTTCACAATGCTTTTTCAGCATATCTGATTGGGGGGGGGGGGCAAACTCTAAATAATAGTCGTGCATCTTTTATTGAAACAATGAATCTAATCAAGGCAGATAGAGTGTTAACTAGAATTCATCTGCCTCGCAGGCATTGGGAGGGGTGGAGGGTGGGGTTTTATTGGGGTTCTTTGTGGTAAAAAATAAGTATTGGTAAAGGGAAATGTGTTTGATATTTGTATGACTGAGACCAAACCTGAAAGCTTTGTAACTTTTCCCACAGTGGTTCAATAAATAAATAAATAAATAAAAAGTAAAGGGCCATGATTTGCAAAGTTATTGATAGTTAAAGTCTTAGGCATATAATATTCCAACATGAATCCCACCACCAATGTCAACTTTCCTCCACCAGTGTTCCTGTGATTCATCCCAGTCACTGAACCCCCACCCCCACCTGCCACTTCACAGGTGTATTTCAAGGTTATAAGTTAGATCTCATGTGTTTTGTTTTAAGTCTAAGCTTTGGTTATGCACTGTAGCACTGTCCTCCCATTGTTCATCAATTTCCTCTAGTGGGCACCAGTAACGTCTCCATTGTGAGATTTGTTGTTATTGCTTTTGGCATACTGAATATGCCAAGGGGAGCATGCCAGGCTCTGCTGTGCAGGCAAGATAGTCTTGGTAGTTTTCCGGGCTCTCTGAGAGGGATGGAGGAATCGAACCCGGGTAGGCAATGTGCAAGGCAAACACCCTACTCAATGTGCTATCTCTCCAGCCCAATACCAGTAGTAGCACTGTCCTCCTGTTGTTCATCGATTTGCTTGAGTGGGTCCAGGAACATTGTGAGATTTGTTGTTACTATGTTTAGCATATCGAATACCTCACGAGTAGCTTGCCAGGCTTTACCATGCAGGCAAGATACTCTCAGTAGCTTGCCAGGCTCTCCAGGAGGGGCGGAGGAATCGAACTCTGGTCTGCTGGGTAGGCAAATGCCCTACCCACTGTGCTATCACTCCCAGCCCAATACCAGTAGTACTCTATATAATTCCTAATGACTCTGAAATAAAAAAAAAATTCTCATGGGAATTTCTTGCATTCAATACGTTTAGCATATCGAATAAGTCATGGGGAACTTGCCAGGCTTTGCCGTGCGGGCAAGATACTCTCAGTAGCTTGCCAGGCTCTCCGAGAGGGGTGAAGGAATCAAACTCGGGTCGGCCGTGTTGGCTGCGTGCAAGGCAAACGCCCTACCTGCTGTGCATCGCTCCAGCTCAATACATTTATAAACACCTAAAATAAGCCAAGGTGTGCTTTTACTGGAAGGGAAACTACTGACATGGACAAGGGTTTCAGATAATAACATGTATCACCATGATAAAAATACACAAAAACCTCTCAAAACACCCCCGGGAAGATGACAATATAGAAGATGCCTAATTTCTGGGTAGTTACTGAGTATCTTTGAGGAACTGATACTTTAAATTGAGCCTAAATGATGATAAATTATTTAATTGACACTGGCAGAGAAAAATCCTGGTACAGAGACTAGCTAGTATTTAAAAAGGGGGCTTCTGCCATGAGTGGCACAAGTAGAGCAAATCGCTTGCTCTACGTGTGGAATTCACATTGAGAGACTAGCTATTGTAAATATGAACTTGTCAAGATTGAGAATAAAAAACAATCATTATTAGACTAGAACATGGAACATGAGGGGAAAAATGAGAATAGAAGGTAGGCCATAAAATAACTCATAAAACATGTAGTAGTCATTGTTAAACTGATTAACAAGCTTTGGTTATATAGCTATAAAATTCTCCCTCATAACCAGTATACCTGAGACCCCTGACCCTAGCTCCCCATTACTTCCCTTCTTCATCTTCCTTCCACCCTCAATTTCTTCTCTTCTCTGCACTTCTCCTCCTATAGTCGGGGGTCAAGGGAGATCTAAGCATCCCTCTTTCATGACATTTCCTTGTTCAGTTATTCTATATCCCACAGATAAGTGAGATCATCCTGCATTGGTCCTCTTTCTTCTGGCTTACTTCACTCAACCTGATATCTTCTAATGTTGTAATTTCCAATCAGGCCCCAGCATTTAAATCTTATCCAAGTTTCACTAAGTGCAAAGAGAAGTGTGGCAGGGGGCAGGAACTATTTCCAGAGTCCTCACAGATGCCTGCCTAGGAAAGGAATCATAGTTGTTTTTCTTCTCTAAATTTTTCAAAGGCACATTTTCAATAGGAAAAATTCTAGAAACTGCAGGATGAGTTGAAACAATGGAAAGCCACATTCTCAAACTGATGTTTAAAAAAGATCAAGTGCAGTTGCTCTTCTAACTGCTCTTCTTTTTCTTTTTCCATCTAGCCAAAGAAGATTAGGGAAATAAAAGATTATATTTTCACCAGAAAACTTCCCTTAGAGTCTAATTTCTGAACTTGCCTTTTTCCTGAAAAGCATAGACATAGTTGACCCCCCCCCCAAGCTAACACTAAGAATTGTTCTACTTCAGAAACACAAACTCTAACTCTGTTGGCAGTTTCACAGGATCCAGAAGGAATTTCATTAAGTTTCAAGAACCAAAACACTTCACTTTGAAGGCCTAGACATCTGCCACTGGCTCTTCACCACCAAGGCCCACATTCCAGCTCCGTCACTGGCCAATCAATGACCTTGGGTTAATGATTCAATATCTGTCTGCCTTCATCTTCTCAATGAAATGTGGATAGTAGTAAAAAAACAAAAATACAGGTTTTTCCATCTCCCCAAAACAGAATATTCTACTTTATGTCCCTTGATAAATTATGGGGAGCCTCTGTCAATATTTGTACAGCCCCCTAATTAACTGCTAAATCATACCAAACAGGAATGTTCTAGTTTCAGATAGCCAGGGAGAATTGTAATCCACACAAACACACACACACACACACTCACACACACACACACAAATACTTCATATGTGTACCATAAAGCTTAAATAAATTAAAAAGACTAAAGAGAGCTTGTCACATATAAATACATCTATGTACTTACATTTTGTTATTGTTGTTGCAGGGAATGCTGAGGATCAAGCTCAGGGCATCAAATATGCTAGGCAAGTGGTCTACTGTGAGCCACCCCCCACCCTGTCCATGTTAAAGATGATGATGACGATAGTGGTGGACGTAATGGTGATGGTGATGGCGATGGTGATAATTGCCTTCCTGGAAGGCTACTCAAAGCACATCTGAGTATTTTATTATCCAAAGAGATCAAGGACTAAAATCCTGGCATCTAGTGCAATGTCAAGCAATGCGGAGTAGAACACTAACAGCCAGGAATCCTGCCATCACAGGAGATGCTCCATCAAGTTCCCCGGCATGTGTTCTGAGCCTCTTTCCCTGTGTCCAGAGTGGGGGACATCTCTGCATACTCCAATTAAGAAACTAACCTTCTCATCCCAGAGGAAGCTATCATTTCTCAAATTGTCATCTTGGGGGCAAAGGGGACTGCTGTTTGAGGGGGACAGAAGGAGAACGCAATGAGAGCAGAAGGCACCCTGGGCAGAGGGAAGCTGTGTCCAGGCTGTCTTGCACAAGTGCCCGCAGCACAGAAGGGGACATTCAAGAGCACTATCTGCCCAGGAAATAGAGCTGGTGGAAAGTTAGAATGTCTAGAGACAGGAATTTCATCTAATCCACGAAGAGAAAGAAGGACTATCGTAAAGAAAGGGACAATTTGCCCAATAAGGGACAAACAGATTCACAGATTTGGAACCCCCCAGGACAGAGGAAATGCAAACCCACTGAAGAACTACACTTGGCTAAGGGTGCAGATTTGTGTCGCTAGTATCATTGAAGTTGATACATTTTAACTGGAAAGTGACAAAAGGCAAGAACGAATATGCACTCACTATGTACCATTCCCAACGCCATCCTTTTAAATATTCACTCACTGCTGGTACTCTTGGGGGAGTTGGAGGTGGGGACCTGAAATAACTCGAACAACCTATTCATAGCCAACAAATAAACATAACAACTAAAACTAATAAAAATATTGAGACAATTTTTTAAATTTTTATATTTCTAAACAGGCATCAGACTTGTATCTACATTTAATGCAACTAATTACAAGAAAATTCTAGAATGTGAAGGGAGGTAACTCAAACAACTCAGTGTTTGCTTTGCATATTGCAGCTCTCCAGTGCTTCATGATCGCCTCAGTACCATGCCGGGCATCCCCCAGCACTGAACCAGGTGAACTTGCTGAGCACTCCTGAGTGTAGTCCAAACCCCAAAACAGAGAGAAAAGAACAGAAAAGAAGCTCCCAGTTTCCTTTCCAACTGCATTAGCTGTGGGAACACAACTGTTAGGGCAGATAAACTTCAAAACCTCTTTAACTTTACACAATTATAACTTTTTTTTTGGTCTCTTGCAACAGTCCCTCACTAGTGAGATTACCCCACCCCACCCCCACCCCCATAAGCTGGGAAAAATAAACAAAATGCAAAGTTGTGATTTGATTGGGCTGCAGTCACCCTCAGGAGGAGACTACCCCACTCTTGCAAGTCCAGGGCCAGAGCTTCTGCAAGACACCCACCAGGTACCGTGCCCAGCCAGGGGGAATGCCGACAGGTTAGAGCCTCACTTTTGAGCAGGTACCTTTGCATTCAGAGAGAGCTGCAGTTTTCCGTGGTGTGTTTGTGTAAATGTGGGCAGGACAGTGGGTCTGGGCGTAGGCAGGCCTGGAGGCGGACCAGGCAGAGCAGCGTAAGGCAGGAGCTCCTTCTTGGGAGTTCCACCAGGCACAGAAATTCCAGTTGGTGCCTCCGCCTCAGCCCTGTCAGGATTTCCTGTCATTCAGCAATATAGAGTGGAGAGTGGTCAATTTCACCCCCGACCCTAGGATTTGCCATTTTTCCTGCCTGCCGGCGAGGTCTCAGATAACATCTGGTTCCATCCAGGCGCAGGAGAGGAACAGATTTAAAAGTAAACACTGAAATGAGAAAGAATTCACTGGGAATTCTTGAGACTGCATTCAAATAGCTAAATTGTTCTGACAGGTGCCTGGCACGAAGAAGGAGCAAATATTTCCTCGTCATGCTACAAATTTTAATTCTTTCATTTCTTGGATTGGTAGTGCAGAATTTCTGTGCCCTGACTGAAACGCCAGAGCAGGTAAGATGAGACTTTCATATGAGTTTTATCAGTTCGTTTTCCTGGGTTATTCTAAACCTTTGTTGTTGTCCTTGGCAAAATCTTTCTAAAGGAGAGAGCTTGTGGAATAAAAGGCTTTCAGTGGGATAGCACCATTTTCCTAGTAATCCAGTTGTTTCTACTCCAGGGCTAACACCTTCTCTGAGGATTTCTGACTTTAGTGCTAACATTGCTCTTCCTTTTTTTTTTTTTTTTGCTTTTTGGGTCACACCTGGCAATGCACAGGGGTTACTTCTAACTCATGCACTCAGGAATTACTCCTGGTGGTGCTCAGGGGACCATATAGGATGCTGGGAATCGAACCCGGGTCGGCCGCATGCAAGGCAGACGCCCTACCCACTGTGCTATCGCTCCAGCCCCCCAACCCCCGCATTGCTCTTCCTTCTACTGTGGTTTTGAGTCTCCTGTTTTTGATTTGTTTGAATCGTCTCGTCACTATAACTGCAATTACATTGTACCATTGTGAGTGTAGAAAATAATTTTGGCTGGAGAGTGATGAGCAAAGAAATGCTGGGGAATTCCAGGATGGGTGTTAAATAGTTGAGCTACACAGGAAGGGCACCAGAAATTCTTCCCTCTCTACCTGCCATAAATTATAAGGAAAGAACGCAGGGCAATCGACTCGGTAGCCCTGAAGAAGCACAACAGTTTGCTTGTCACTCCATCAGCCTCCTGGAAGCTGTCATCCAAGAACCAGAGCAGAATCATGCCTACCGCAGGGCCAGCTGTAGAGGCTGCCAGAGGAGTGAGTGTGGGGCCAGCCCAGTGATATACTGGAAATGTGTTTCACAAGCTATGAGTCCTGCTTTATGAATAATAAAACCTTGAGGCCAGAGGGATAAACAGGGGGTCAGGAACTTCCCTTGCACACAGCCAACTTTTGCTCAATTCTTGGTACTGGACAGGATCCCCCAAGCACCACCTGAAGTGATCCCTGAGCACAGAGCCCAGAATAATCCCTGAGCACAGTCAGTCTGGCCCCCAAACTAATGATAATTTAATACCTTAATACAATTCTGCATCATTTTTTGCCACACATTTTAGGCACAGTGCTCAGGGTTTACTCCTGACTCTGTGCTCAGGGTTCATTCCTAGTGGGCTCAGGAGAACTATATGTGGTGCCCAGAATCAAACTCAGATTGGCCGCATGCAAGATAAGCATCCTACCCACTTTTCTATCTCTCCGGTCACTTGTATGAGGAAAATTTTATCAGCACCATGTTTTCTCCTGATGACTTTACTCTGCTTCTCACAATGAATGATCTTGATGAGGCATCCAAGTCAGGAGCTGCTGAGATTAGATAGGGGCAAGTTTGAACTGTGGCTTTTGTTTGTCGAACAAGTATTTCTGGGGACTGAGAGATAGTACAGGGGTAAAAGTTTGCCTTACATGTAGCCAACCCTAGTTCAATCCCTGGCACTAAACATGAACTCCCAAGCACTGACAGGAATAATCTCTGAGCAGAGAGTCGAGGAGCAGGAGGAGGAGGAGGAGGAGGAGGAGAAGGAGAAGAAGGAGAAGATGTGACCCAAAAAGAAGAAAAGATAAGACAGAAAAGCACAAACATTTCTGACAACTGTTGCTGTGCTCCCTTCCCACAAGATTTTTGTTTGCTTTAATTGTTTTGTAGAAGGGGCCCTACCCATCATAGTTGGAGGGGTACTTGGGACCAGTGGTGCTCAGACCTACCAGTGCTAAGGCCTCTGATGATGGGTCCATAAAGAGTCAAAGATCAAATTGGATTGAACATGGTAGGTGTGTGCTCTATCTCCATAACCGCTCCTGCAGGGGATTTTAAATGAATAGCAAAGACAAAAGTGGGTGCCTCTGGTCAGCTAGTGGAAAAGGTAGAGAGATGACCCAAAATTTTCAAAACCTGCAAAATGGGTCTGTCTCTGCCCTTTGTAGATGGCAGCAGTGGGTAAGACGTGGCCTCACTTAGCAACACACAGAACTTGACTCCAAGCTGAGTTTCTTGGCTCCTGAGTTCCAGTTGTCTCTGTTGTACAAAGTGACTTTATCTTAAGCTTGATGTGAGAATGAAGGAGACTTGAGAAAGGGAAGAAAGTCTATTTGGCAAGACCAGTACCAGAACCACAATTAGTGATCCAGAAGACAGAGCCAAAGTGGGCTGCATCCTTCATTTCGGTTCAGCTGGAGATGCGATTCAGTGGTAGAGCACTAGCTCGTAGGAGTGAGGTCCTGGGTTTGATCCCTGGCACCACAAGAGTTCATTCTAGCCCCCAATGTTGATAATTGTCTATTTCTAATGTGTCTTTTTGACTTCCTACAATCCAGATATTTACTGAGCCAGACACTGTCCTAGGTGTTTGGGGTATAGCAGAAGATCTTCTTTTAGGAAGATTAGCATTGATATCTTTAACTATTACTACTTCATTGGGGTTGCTTCCCTATCAATGGTTGGAACTAACCACAAGTGTGGGGGGGGGGGGCTGAGGGTAGGTAAGATAGAGAAGAGACCTCGGACCTCACGGCCACCCATGTCCTTCTAGGACATGAAGCCAGTGGAAACATTGTCAAACCTGGCTCCGAGAGTGGGATTTGATATCTCTTTCATGTTTGCCTAGGCAAAAAGACAATAATATCTGGGAATGATCATGCTGGACAAGATCTGAGGGTTAAAAGTAAAGTAAGGGAGGGGGCTGGAGCAATAGCCCAGCAGGTAGGGCGTTTGCCTTGCACGTGGCTGACCTGGGTTCTATTCCCAGCATCCCATATGGTCCCCTGGGCACTGCCAGGAGTAATTCCTGAGTGCATGAGCCAGGAGTAAACCCTATGTATGTCCGGGTGTGACACCCCCCCCCAAAAAAAAAAGAAAAAAAGAAAAAACAAACAAACAAAAAAGTAAGTAAGGGATATTCTTGATAACCTTTCAGTAACAATATTGCAAACCACAATGCCCAAAACAAAAGGAGAGAGAGAGAGAGAGAGAGAGAGAGAGAGAGAGAGAGAGAGAGAGAGAGAAGAAAACTGCCTGCCATAGAGTTAGGCAGAGAATGGGGGTGGGTTGTAATGGGAGGAGACCTGGGGACACTGGTACTTCAAATGTACACTGGTGGAGGGATGGGTGTTGGAATACTGTATGACTGAAATCCAATCATAAATAGCTTTGTAAGGGTCTGTCTTGCAGTGATTCAATTAAAAAGTTTAAAAGAAGAAGAAGATAACTATCCAAAAGACTGCAAGGTTTAGATTAGAATATAGTTCAAAATGTCAGAACATGTGGCTAGCATGTGTGAGGTCTGAGTTCGATCTTCTGGTGGTCTCCGAGCACTTCAGGGTAAGGCCCTGATTGAAAGAGAAAAAATTGCAAATGCCTGAGGAGTAGACAATTTGTTCCTCAGCATTTAGCATGCAGACCAAATACCCCTGTGCAGTCACTGCTGAAAGATTATCACTGTGACCTGTTGGTTTGTGACCAATTAGACTTGAGTAGTCCTGAAAAAAAAAAATTTCCTATTGCAAAGAGAACTCTACGGTATAGTTTTGGTACTCTGTTTAGGTAAATAAATATAGTGATACTCCATTACCCCACTTCACAAATGAGTGGTACAAGTAGCTCCTGCATTTACTAAGCAGCTTGGTGACATTTCTTGTTCGTTCCAACATCCTTTCCAACAAAGACGTAAAGCATCCCACCGATCTTGATGTTCAGACCTCACGGCCACCCATGTCCTTCTAGGACATGAAGCCAGTGGAAAGGTTGTCAAACCTGGCTCCGAGAGTGGGATTTGATATCTTTTTAATGTTTACCTAGGCAAAAAGATGTGATAAGAAGGCTATGCTTACGATTAAGACCGAGTGCCAAGCCTGCTCAGACAACGCTGCAGTCAACTGCCCTGATGGCTACACCAAAATTACCAAAGGCATTTTTGGGATTCAAGACTGCAGATACTGGTAAGAAAAAAATGAGCTTTTTGAACTCAAGGGAGTATCTACCCAAACTGAAAAATTTCATTTTTAAAGACAAGCATTTCCTTGATTTTCTCCCTCATTCTTATATTATACCCAGCCCAAACTAAAAATATGCTAAAAGTCAGTTCCTCATCTTACTAACGAGCTGTGATCCCCAACACTGGTGAGAACCCAAAGAAGGAAGAGACATAAATTGGATTTTCTTCACATTATGTGCCATCAGTTTCTTCCTATAATTCTCTGGTGATTCAAATTCATCATTGAAGGCTGATCCTCCAGAAGACCGAGCAACTGTTTTACCCACCAGGAAGTAGTCACACAGCTCAAGTGCAGCACTTTTTTTTTGTCATTTACTCAGTTTACTAATTTAGAATTCAATAGCCCTCAATTAGTGTGTTTCTTACTCAGGAAAAATTAGTATAATATCTTGTTTAGTGTAAATGTAAGCCTCAACACTGCTCTACCTCACTGATAAGATTCACTTCATGTGACTGTTCTCTGTTCTAAACCTAAAATAACTTTTCACTGAAGTTTCCCAACATTCACTGACCTAGAACTAATACATGGGCAGTATTTGACAGAAGGAAACAAAATATGTTACCAAAGTGATCACACATTTCAACCGGTTTCTCTTGAAAATATTGAAAAGATATTAGGTTTGGATTTAAATTTTTATGTTGGATTTATTAAAAATGAAAAAAATTGTAGCTGGAACTTATTTTTTAATGACCAAAATAAACATTTATTTCTATATATGTCTACCCCCACCATTGCACACATACAATCTGCAAACACACAGAACAAGATAAATGCACCCAAGTTCCCTTTTAAAATGGAAGATTCCGTCCTATCATTCATTTATGCTGGAACAATCCCAAGGCTGGTTCCTGAGGGAATGTTTGCTTTTGCCTTTGACTCTTCCCCTTCATCTTTCTAAGAGATGTTCCCTTAGTACTATCAAGCTTACAAAGAAGTCGTCAATTTTGTCTCCAACTTGAGTGCCCATAATTCCAGTGATCCTACTGGCATTTCACCACTGCTTGAGAATGCAACCTTGAACCCCCTGTCATACTCACTTGAACAGTCCATTGAAAGAAATGATATCTACGAAGGTTTGTCTCTTGGTGCAGTAAAGTAAAACCCTGGAATGTGCCCTCCATAGAAAGAGATCTTAATTCTTGTTGATGGAGAATGGTTCTTAACCTCCATAGATTGCTTTTCCAGAATTTCATTTCAGCTGATGCAGAAAGAATTCTAAGGAACTCATTACTTTATCTCCCTTGATAAAATTGTGCCAAATGTCACTCACTCACTGTATTATATCATCTATTACAGACATGTCATATGCTGAAATGGCATAAAGCATTGAAGTCATTACCATCAATTTTGGGAAACTTTACTTGAGTAATTCAGAATCCCCAAAAATGAACTTCCAAGTTATGCTAAACAACCCATAAAAATTAAAATAAAGTTAACGTATGCTAAAACAGGAAACACCATGAGAAGTGAACCCTGAGCACAGAGCCTGGAGTAAGCCCTAAGCACCACCAGGTATGACCTCCCCAAAATATCAAACAGCTAAATTGTATTTGATAATGCAAATTTTATTTTTTTCAATGAGCTTTTAAAAATGTTTATATAGGTAAATGTAAGGAAAAATATATACACATAGGGAAATCCAGCTACCCCAAGCTCATTGCTTTTCTCTGACCGTGGGCTCACGTCCTGCGTTTATCTCCAAGGTTCATAAATGGGCCAAGAGGATATACCATAACCCTCCCTGGGTGCCGCCACATCTGCAAGAAGGACTATGTGCAGCCACAGTGCTGCCCCGGACACTGGGGCCCAGACTGCATGGGTAAGTGCAGCCGGCCTTTGAACTCAGGGCTTGCTTCAATGTCCCATTTCACGGAAAAGGGAAATGACTGAGGCCTGATGCAAAGGAATCTGTCCATACCTTTTTCTAAAAATTAAAAAAAAAAAATTCAACTCCTTGGGGCTGGAGTGATAGCACAGCAGGTAGGGCGTTTGCCTTGCACGCGGCCAACCCGGGTTTGATTCCCAGAATCCCATATGGTCCCCCGAGCACCGCCAGGAGTTAATTTCTGAGTGCATGAGCCAGGAGTGACCCCTGTGCATGGCCAGGTGTGACACCCCCCCCAAAAAATAATTCAACTCCATGAGAAACTTGCTCTTACTGTTTCAGCCTTTATATTCTCCTCCAGTTAGAGAATCTGTCTTTAACAGCAGGCCTGGGCAAGCTGGACCAAAGGGACAAGGGAAAGAAGAAAATTCATTTTTCTGAGAAAAGATAATATTCCAGAGAGAAAATAAGAATGCTGGGCTATTATAAACCAGAAGGTGATTTTAAGAACCAGTTTTTATGACAGCATCTCCCGGACCCTAGTTATTGCTTGGTTGCAGAAATCACCATTAAACATCTAACAATTTAAGTTGTAAGATGCGATGTGAGACTCGCAAGGGCAGATTCCACTGTGAGAAAAACCACTAACTAAGTCAGAGTCCACAGTTTACTTGAACCCCTGTGAGCAAGTGGAGCATCTACTCACTGAAATGGAACCTTTGTTCTGATTCCAGCGCTTAATACTCAGGAGTGGTGGAGTCCTTGCTACACCCTGCAAACGATGTCAATTCCCTCTTGTTGACAGAAAAAGAAAATCAGGCCTTTTAATTCATGTGTTTATATTTATTTTTCTTTTTTTTCTTTTATATATATATTTGTTTTTCACCTAAAAGGAGGAAAGGGAAAAAATATTCTCTTCTCTTCTGTTGTTGTTTGGCTTTTTTTTTTTTTTGCTTTTTGGGTCACACCCGGCGATGCACAGGGGTTACTCCTGGCTCTACACTCAGGAATTACCCCTGGCGGTGCTCAGGAGACCATATGGGATGCTGGGAATTGAACCCGGCTCGGGCCGCGTGCAAGGCAAATGCCCTACCTGCTGTGCTATCACTCCAGCCCCAGCTTTTTTTTTTTCCTTTCAATTAAAGTAATATAAACAGTAAGCACACTCTCAAATTTTCTTTTTTTGGGGGGGAATGGGTGGTGTGGGCCACACCCGGTTATTCTCAGAGATTACTCCTCACTTTGCACTCAGGAATTACTCCTGGAAGTGCAGAGGGGACCATATGGGAAGCCAGGGATCAATCCCAGGTTGGCCATGTGCAAGGCAAACATTTTACCGGCTGTACTGTCTCTCTGGTCCCAGTTTGCAAATTTTTAAAAATTGCATATTTTTTTAAACATAGCCATTTGTGTTCTATAACATGTAGAAATACCTAGATTGTTTGGCTGATCTCCTTAGCCCAAATTGCATGCCTCACACTGTCTTCCTGTTATGTTTGCTGCTGTTGTGGTGGTGTTGATGGTGTGGGTGGGAGGGGGAGTGGATTGCTGTGGGAGGAGGGGGTTGTACACTTTGTGGAGTTTGCCATTTGTTTTGTAAATGTATTTTCCTTCATTCCGTTCCTTCTGTTGTTGCTGTTATTGAAATGATCTGGGGTCACACACACACACACACACACACACACACACACATCCACGCCCAGTTGTTGCTCGCACCCTTGGTTGTGGTGCCCATGAGGGTGGCAGAGTGGGCTATAGTGCTCATCAGGGACTGCACTCCTTAATTTGTGGCATTCGAGAACATTCTGGTTGTAGGATTCATCAGGGGGTGCAGTGAGGCTCACCTGAGTTGCTCTCCAGAAATCAGAGACTTGTGGCCACAGTGCTCCCTATAATTCTTTCAGGGAGTTGGGGGACCTCCTCAGCAATACTTGGGAGTCTAGAGGCTTCTCCAGGCACCACTTGGCCCAGCAATGCCAAGCCTGATGGTTAGATGCTCAAATAAAGCTCATGTCCAGTGGTCCCAAGGGTCTCCAAGGCCACCCCAGCAATCCCAGAGGCCAACCAGGACCACAGCCTGGTTCTTCTCATGGTGCTATACACATACCCTGTGTCCCTCGGGGACTGGGCCGTGCCAAAGACTGAGCTCGGGACTTGGTGCATGCAAGGCAGGTGCCCAAGTGCTTCGAGCTTTCTGCCCTCACATCTTTTCAGAGGTGATGCTTGAGGTGGGGCAGGGGTGGGGGGCAGGCACCGTGGCTGCTCATACACAGCTGGCCAGGATGCAGCTGGAAATCCTGTGGCTGCGGGGATCACAGACTGCAGAGCTGAGAAGATCATGCCCGTTAGCTGCTCCAGAGATTCCAGCTCGCCCCCTCACACCTGCACAGCAGCAGGTTTACCCCAGAGCCATCTGCTTTTCTGCTGTGCTGTTGTGTTGTGCTTTGTTTTGTTTTATCATCTTGGATGGCCACACTCGGTGATGCTCAGGGACTGACGGGGCTCAGGAAGCCATCTGGGGTGCTGAGAATCAAACTCCGCTGGGCCACGTGCAAGGCAAATGCCCAGCCTGCTGTATTACCTTGTGTTGTTAGGTTGTTTCTTTGGCCTTGTGTTGTTAGGTTGTTTGTTTGTTTGTTTGTTTCATTTGGGGGTTTAAAATACCATTAGTAATTATTCCTTACAGCATTAATTCCCAACCCCAGACTCATCGCCAATGTATCCATCTCCCTCCCCCAAGCATCCCTTCCTCTTCTCCCCTGTCCCAACTCAATTTTGTGGATTATGTTCTCCCATCATGTGTCTTTTGGCCCTTGTTTCCCTACACCTGTCTGTGTATCTTTCAGTCCCACATAGGAGAGAGCATTCTGTATCTGCCCCCTTTCCTTCTGACTTCGCTCAGCATTCTGTAGTTTTGTCCATGTTGCTGCAAATTGCATCATTTTGTTTTTCCTTAGAGCTGCATAGTATTCCATTTTGTATGTATACCACCACTTCTTTTTGTTTGTTTGTTTTAATTTTTATTAGTGAAACACCATGAGGTACAGTTGTAGAATTGCAAATTTTTGTGCTTAGGTTTCAGTTATACAATGATCGAGTACCCATCCCTCCACCAGTGCCCATTCTCCACCACCAATGATCCCAGTACCCCTCCCACCCCCCAACTCTCCAATCCCACCCTGCCTCTGTGGCAGGGCATTCCCTTTTGTTCTCTTTCTCCTTTTCGGTGGTATATATGCCACCACGTCTTGATTCACTCATCTGTAGTTGGGTATTTGAGTTGTTTCCATACCTTGGCTATTGTACTAAGTGCAGCGGTAAACATAAGTGGGCACGTCTGTGAGAATCTGGAAACAGCCAGTGTTGGCGGGTTTGTTGTGAGAAAGGACCCCTCATCCACTGATGGTAGGAATGCCATCTGGCTTAACCTCTATGGAAAGTAATATGGAGAATTTTTTAAGTGGAAATACAAGTTCCACATAACTTGGCATCTCTCCTGAAAACACAAAACCATTAATTTGTGGTGTTGTTTTTAACTAACAAATACATTAGTGATAGCTTTCATTCATTCAGGTTAATGGCATTTGGCACTAGAGAGATACTTGCTCTTCATTGTCTGATTAACCCTTTAGATAACATTTTGAGCTAAGCATTTCTATCCCATTTCACCTGTGGGGAATGAGAGTCTGAATAGCTCCTGACAGTTTCCTCTGAGCTGGTAAGTGATGGAGCCAAATGAAATTTAAGACAATCTGAATCAAAACCTGCTGTCTTTCTGCCCTGTCCCACTATTTGAATTGGGGAGTGGAGAGGTAAGAGAGAGAGTGAGAGAGAGAAAGAGAGAGAGAGAGAGAGAGAGAGAGAGAGAGAGAGAGAGAGAGAGAGAGAGAGAGGAGAGAGCTTTTTAAAAATGAGTTTCTCCTTTTCACTCTTCCAGTAGTCAGTGCCTGGTTCATTCTGACCAGGAAAAGTACTATCCTAGAGTATTCTGACTCTTTTCTCTCTTGACTTTGCTGCCTCAGTTTCTCTGGGTAGTTGGTACTGCCAATTTCTGAGTCGATCGTAGCCAAATAAAATGATTCAGAAGTCAGACTTCCATGGTTCAGGAACTTTCTTAGCACTAAGGTGGTCATGCTCACGTTCCCTTCTGAGAGACATCTCAGAGTGGGAGACCTTGGGATGTTCTTTTACCTTTTTAGCCCATGAAAATAAATTGAGTACTAAGTTATTCAATATACATACCAGAGACCAGTAAAGGTTTCGTCCACACCACAGTCACATAACATGTCCAACCTGATGAACATAGAATCCAGCCAAAAGGACAAAAGAACCTGGGCCAGTGATCAGAAGTTCTAGATGTGAACCCAGTTTCTTCATTACCAGTTTGGATGAACTAATTTTTGCCTACCCCTAACTGCCCTTTCAAGTGGACATGGAACTAACTTGCAAAGGAACTGACTTGCAAAAACTTCAGTAGCTGTTTTAAAATATTAATATAGCTCAAGGTAGTTGTCAACGTGTATGAGACAAAGAAGGTATTTTATAAAACTATCTGATGGAATAATGATGAGGGAACCACTATAAAAATGATAATGAGGTAAAAAAAAGAAAAATGGCCCCTGGATTTAAAAAGGAGGGCAAACAAAGCACCCTTTCTCTGAATAGTGGGTTAGTTTGTTTGGGCATTTGAGACACACGCCACAGCAGTCAGGACTTACTCTGGGTTCAGTGCTCAGGAATCACTTGGCTAGATTTGGAAGATCATATGTGGTGCTGGGGATTAAGATGGGATTGGCAAGGTGTTAATGCCCATACTATCCTGCCAGACACTGAGGGTGGCTTTAACAGTGGATAATTCATAAAACATGAGCAGCAGACAAACCATTCAAATTCACTGGTGGGTTTCATGTCATTGCACTGTGCCACAGAGCCAGTAAGGATGCCTGCATATCTGAGCCTTTCTCTCTGTTAGGTGTCAAAACCAGAAATGCTTA